GGACCAATCAGAGAACAGAAGGAGGAGTTTTGAATGACGTCGATGTTCTGCTCAGTGTCTGCTAGTTAGTTTAGCATACAGCAGTGGAGGAAGTGAATGAAGCCAGTCTGTGTTGATAAGGCTTCAAATTAAAATAAATTTGTCTGACAAAGCAGCAGCTCTCATTTAGTCGTCTCGTTCGGCTCTGTACTTTTCTCCTCTCAGTAGGGTTGTTTACAGCACACACCATTTCCGGTTAGCTTCTTAGCTTAGCCTCCGTCACAGCGACATACGTCGCAGCYAACTGATCCAATCATTTTAAACTTCAGCAGAGGCCACGTCTCCTGCAAGAAACGCTTCTCTATGCAGCATGTCCAGATCTTCGTATGAAGCAAAGTGAAGGACAGGGTCTGGTTTAAACCAGTCTAGACTGATATGCAAGTTATTCTTTTTTTCTTTTCTCCATCTTATTAATACACCAGTTGGCTGACAGCTTGTTTTGATTGTTTTGGATCTTGGTCTTTTTTTTATTATTGTCTGATATCTGTTTGTTCTTGTTGTTCAATTTTGAAAAACATAAAAATAAAGTAAAAAAAAAAGAATAAAATGTCTGGAAGATGTTCTTCACAAGTCATCAGACCTCCTTGGAGGCTCCTGGTCGATTTTGAGACCCAAGGAGATGGTGAGGAACCAGCTTCTTGGGAACAAAGATAACTTGATGGCGTTTCTGAGTGCATCATTCTTGTGAATGAAGCCAGTTTTTACATTTATATTTTATTTTATGAATATTTGGATAGTTGTTTGTATGTTGATTTTTATAAGTGTAACAAGTAAGTTACTTTGTGCAATATATGCATATTTAGAGTTAGTATGTGTAAATACACGTGTCTCTTCAAAACGCGATGTTTTTTTTGTATCAACCTATTGATGTTTGCTCAGTAAACCCTGCCTTGTTTTTACTATATATTGTGTGTGTGTGACTAGCTGAATATTTATTGCTACTTTCTTTTTGTCTTGTAGTGAAGACCAACCGTCTTCAAGTTTGGGAGGAGGGAGAGGCAGAGAGAGAGCAGCAGTGAGGATGCTGAAGATGATGTGGATGCTGTGAGAGACAGAAGCTGCAAATCATCTCAGATGGAGGACTGAAATGGAGCATGGTGATGAAGTGCCTTATGTGATGTAGGACTGTGTCTGCAGCTTGGTAGGAACTGCTTCTGGCAATACCACAAAGACTTTGGGGGAAATGGAAAAAAAACGCCACGTATATGGTTTTCATTTTTGGACTGGTTTTTTTTCCATTGATTAATAAAAAATCAAAAAGTTTCACTGTAAGTAGTTTATATACTGTCCAAGTTTCATATTTTTGATGCAAAATCATTTTGTTATGTACCTTTGTTGTGATTTTCTTTGTCGTTTTTGGTTTTTATCCATTTAAAATTTATAATACAATATTTTAATATGCAGTAAGTTTTATTTAACTGCCAGCTTATCGTGAGTGTTTAAGTATTGTCAACAATGTCTTACAATAACACGTAATTACAATGCGACATTTTTTTCAAATTTCCTGTCAACTTTAACATTTTTTTAACAAAAACATGGTGGGTTGCCAAAGAGGCCATACCACTGGGCTGGATAAATATCCTACTCTTGTCACTAATGATAGTAAATCCACATGAATAAAGTTAATGACATGTATCATTCAGTTCAGACGTTTTAACAAACAACACCCATAACACTGTGATTTCATTAGGCACACCGAAAACCACTTTTCAATAAAAAGCTTGAAAGTCTGCAGGACTTACAATCAGAAGGCCACCCATATACTGTCATTACTTCTTATGGTTTATGTTTTTGTACTTCAGCTTCACTGAGCTTCTTGTTTAATATAATCCTCTGCTTTGAGGCAAAGAAATTTTATTTTACTACCCTCATTCGTCACTTTGCTGTGGTCATACCATTTTTGGTGTTGTGGCAGTCATAAAGCTTTCTCTTGTCTCTTACAGCCATTCATAATGTCATATAATATGATTTTTTTCTTGTGTGTAATTATCAGCCTGATTTAAATTTTAAAATATTATTTGAAATTATATTCAAAGCTTACCTGTGACTCCTAAGGAGACGAACCAAGGCTTTGGCAATTACACCAACCTCTGCTTTAGGGGCAAGGTGGAAATACAACTGAGCCACAGCCATCACCACCTAGAATAGGAAAAAATAAAAATAGTAAGCAGTATGCATTGTGCATGCTGCAAGAGTGAGCCTAGAGTAGTAGTGTCCTATATTTAACTAGGAAAATAATTCATTGAGATTCAAAACCTCTTTTCCAAGAGTGACTTGGCCAAGACAGCAGCATAAAACATACAACAAATCCAAAATACAAGATAAGACACACAAAGCACAAAAATAAGAGCCACCCCATAACTAAATTGCCCAAAGGTAACGAGAAATGATAACTTTAAATCCTACTGCGCGTTTTTCTAAGTGGCAGAAGCGGAAAATCTAAAAGCCTTCTAACGTGTTTCGTCTAACCTTTGGCTCCTGCATCATAATGATGTCCTGAGAGTGCAGACCATGAGCATAAATATGCAGGAAGATGCCCAAGAATGCATGAAAGCACCGTCTGTTTAAACCTTTATCAGCCAGAGAGACAGTCTGTGGTCAAAATGTGGACATTTCGCTGTGGCATACAAAGTGCAGTGGTGTGTTCGATAGTTATAGTTTGTCATGAAACGCAGGACATAGTGCGGCATTTCCCCTACCATTATCCAATTATCCCCCCATAAAAAATGAATATTTGAGACATAATACAATCCAGCATGTCCCATTTGCATATTTGTACAAATGTACAAATATTTCCAAACTGTACACTTTTTCTAAACTCTAATTTCTAAATCTTCAACACAGACTTCTCTCTGGGCTCAAGTTAAATATAAAAACCCCACAAAACACATTCTACCATCCATATTTATACAGAGCACGATTAAATTACCAAAGAAAATATTAATATTCAGAAAATTTTATACCAACTGGAGTACATCCAGCCAATATCCACAAACAGTCAAAACACAACAATAAACAAATATATCCTTATTTTTGGAGCTGATTGGCCATTTCTACAGTCAATCTAGCCCAGGGTGTCACCACCGGAAGTTGGTGTACCTCTCACAGATTATTGGCTCTGGAGAGCCGATAGATGAACCCAGTTGGTCAAACAAGGTGTCAATCAAAAGGGGACATCTGGGAATGTGTGAAAACCATAACAAGCTTCTTTTTTTTCTGCTCAGTGAAGGTGGATGTAGTTCCCCTATGTCTTTGCTGCTTTCTGAGCTTACCTTACATATCTTCCAAATTGGAAATTATGGATTTGGTCAGCTGGTCTCTCAGCTCTATTGAAAAATCTTGTCTCCATGAGAAGGTTGGGCAAAGGGGAGAGCTCTTGTCCTGATGAGACATATGTCGAAGATGTGTCAGGGGAAGTGTGTCACGTGTGCTCAGTTCCACGTTGATTGGGATGTACAACAAAACTGTGAGTGGATTCCGGCGTACACATGGTTTGATACATCTGTACTTTTTTGTGCGTACTCCGTTTCCTTGATTTGACTGTATGCCACATTTCAGTAAAAAATCCACTCAAGTCTTGGCCCCTGGTTCTTGACTTTGGGAAGTCCAGACCAGGGCTATGACCAGTTCTGATTGATGGGGCAGAGGTGGAGGCTGTAGACTCCTATAAATACCTTGGACTGTGGCTAGACAGCAAATTGGATTGGACAACTCACACCAACCACCTAAACAGAAAGGGTCAGGCTGTACTTCCTATGGAGGCTGCAGTCTTTTAACATTGGCAAGAAACTCCTGGGAGGGGGGGCAGTGTAGGACTAATAGACTGAAAAACTCATTTGTCCCTCATGCCATCAGACTGTTATCCCTCCTCAGTAGCTGCGTTTCCATTGACCATGAAAATGCGCAAATTAGAATTTCGAAAATAAATTTGCTCAATGGAAACACGTCAATTTTGAAAAAAATTACACTTTTCAACAAACTGTTTTTGCGCTAGGATAAGGTGGTATTTTGGCCATATCAAAATTGGTGTTTTTCGCAAATCTGCAAAAGAAACACTTTTTTCGCATCACTGGAGTCACGTGATCAACAACCGGCTGTTTCTACTGGTGAAAAAGTTGACGACGAAGAAGATAACAGGAAGTAGAAGTAGTAGTAATATCACAAAAGTAGTATAAAACAGTAAACTCACCGACTACAATTTCCCAAAAACACAGCATACATAGTCACTCCCAAGTGACTTGTCTCTGGAAAGCCTCGATAAAAGCCTCGATAAAAGACACCGATGTCTCCTCTGATGATGAGCGCTAGTGTCGTGGTAGCAACATGCTATGTGTTTACATCCATCGCCACCATGTTTGTAATGACTTATCACGAGAACAAACGTATTTCACGCGTGACTTTAATAGCATTTCTTACTTAATGGAAACACTGCAGTTGTGAAACTGTGTTTTTTAACATTAACAGAATATCAAAGTTTTCTGCACATTTGTAATGGAAACACAGCTACTGTGGGGAAGAGGGGTAACAGGTGGAGGAGAATGGGAAAGAGCAACAGACACCACCACTGTCCTAATAGATTTCAACTGGTGTATAAATAATAAATGTATAAATAAAGATAAAGAAGATATGTTCCTCTGCTTTTAAATTACTCAGACAGCAAGTGCAGGTTCCTTACCTGCTTGGAAACACTCTTTCTTACAGAACTGGACTTCCACAAATTTCAATTATTTTTCTTCTCTTGGAAGAAATTAAAGAAATGAAAGAACAATCCCACCACCGCACCTCTCATCACCCAGCCTGCTGTTTCTTCAGAATGCTCAATGTCCACTCCCGTTTTTCTGATGGCCAGTCTTCCATTAGGCCCCTCATCCTCAATCACTGATGAAGGGTGGCTGTTACAGGGCTGATCTTTGCCTCTGCATGGCCTCACACAAACTTGAGCCTTCAGGACGCAGCTCTCCAGAGCCTGCAGGGCTCAGCTCTCTATAGTCCAGCTATCCAGAGTCAGTAGTGGACAAATTTCCCCATTGTGGAATCAAAAAAGTCTCGTCTCATCTCGTCTCATGTCATAGGTTGTCTTTATTTGGTTCTTAGTGTTTTTGTTTATTTATCTCAGGTGCTTCAGTTCCTCCATGTTCACTGTATCATTACTCATCCCTCTTCTTTTTTGTTTTGTTATTAAAGTGTTTTGTTAACTTTCAACTTACCTGTCATCTGGGTCCAACCCACTGTGCCCCATTACATTGACAATACAAACTAGACACTGCATAGTGGTTACACAATGACCCCCGCACGCACAAATGCACAAGAACTCAGAAGTCTTTATTCCTAATAAATGTCATGCTACTAGATGCATCCCAAAATTGTAGTGGTTTGGGTGGGGGTCTTTTTTTGGGAGGGGGGGGGGGGTTGGACCTGATGGATAGCCCCTCATCAGAGCTAAACAACAACAGAAATCTGAAGCTCCTATGTTTAATAGTTTTTGAACTATGACAATTTTTGTATGTCCAGATACCCCTTTTTCAGATAAATTGTGGGTCCAGGTGGGTTGGGGCACTGATGGATAGAGCTTCATCAGAGCTAAACAACAAAAGAAATCTGAAGCTTCTATGTTGAACAGTTTTGTCTGTATTAATGTTTTATTTTAGTTTCTGTCTTATCTGTTTTCTTCCTCCTGTCTGCCTTTGCTCCAGCCCCACCCACTCTCACCTGCTCCTCATGTTTCTCTCCCAGGTGTTTCCTGTTTGTGCTCGTTAGTCTCACCTTATATTCTGTGTCTTGTCTTCACTTCCCTGTCTGATCATTGTGCTGTTCACAGCCTGTATGTTTGTTGCCTTGCCTTGCCTTGCCTTGCCTTGCCTTGCCTAGATACACCAAGTTAGTTGTTAGTTTTTTAGCTGCCCTGTCAGCAATTTTTGTTTAATAAATCTTTATTGTTTCCTTTTGGAAGCTGCCTGCACCCTGGGTTCATTCTTTCCAAGCCATTCACAACAGAATGATCAGACCAACAACTGAACCCAGCAGGCAGTTTCTCTGCTCTCCACCCACAACTTGTGCTTTGCCAGCGTCTCCCCTCTCAAAGATCCTGGGGCTCCTAGAGGGGATGCAGGGTGAGCTAGCTGGCCTTAGGGGACTCTTTTCTTCAGGGTGTCCTTCAGAGCTGGCAGCTCTGGGGGTTTCTGAGTCCCACCCTCCCCACCCCTCTGATGCTGGACCTTCTGCTCCAGCTCTGGTTCCTGTGGGCCCTCCAGGTCTAGTTCCTGTGGGCCCTCCTGCTCTGGTTCCTGTGGGCCCTCCAGGTCT